CAAATGTGAGCCTTGATAATTTTTTCGAAGACTTTGCCAAGGATGGAGGTGAGACTGACTGGCCTATAGTTGCCTGGGTCCTCCTTCCTCCCCTTTTTGAAAATGGGGACCACGTTGGCCCTTTTCCAGTCCTCCGGGACTTGGCCCGTGTGCCACGAGCTTTCAAATATTCCCGCCAGTGGCTCTGCAATGATGTCGGCCAGTGCCTTCAGCACCCTCGGATGGAGCTCATCCGGGCCTGCCGACTTAAAGGCATCTAGTTCTTCCAAGTGACTCTGCACCATCTCAGGGTCTACGCATGGTAGTCTGGCGCCTTGCTGCTGCCTCTCTACAACCCCAGTGAGAGACTTGTCGTGCCCCTCACTTAGGAACACTGAGGCAAAGAACTCGTTGAGGAGTTCAGCCTTGTCCCCTCTGTCCGTCACCAATTGTTTCTGCCCATTTAGCACGGGTCCTATTCCTCCCTGGGCCTTCCTTTTACTCCCTATATATCTAAAAAACAATTTCTTGTTGTCTTTTACTTGGGTTGCCATCCTCAGCTCCATGGCAGCTTTGGCCCGTCTAACTGCCTCCCTTCAAGCACGAGCAGAGGAGGTATATTCATCTTTGGTGATCTCTCCATGAGTTTGAGACAGATAGAGGTTAGACCACTCTATCTGTCTCAAACTTCTGTACAGTTCGCAGCACAGCCCCAGGGCTTGGAAAGCTCAGCCGCTGTCTCCAGCTCTGGGAGTGCCCTTTTCCTACCTGCCCGCCTGGCACCAGGCTATTTTGAAGCCACCTCCCACAACTTGCCTCACCCCTAAAACAGACAAACCTTCTCCCCACGGACCATCCAGCCTCACTTCCCCCTCACCCCAGCCCAGAAGCTGCTCCCAGTAACCGTTTTATCAGTGTTCACCAACGCTAGGAGCTGAAGTAGAAAGTCAGGGTGTGGTGGGGGGGACAAGAGGTAGGGGAGGGTAGGTTCACTAGAAGGGTTGTCTGTCTGGGGCTGGGAGGGGGTGGTCAGAAGAATAGCTCCTGGTCCCAGGGGGTGGGGAAGAAAGACCCCATTCCCTCAACCTCCCTCCATGGACCCTGCAACCCCCCCTAATCCTACTAAATCCTCCCAGACCCCACCAACCCCCCTTCAACCCCTGCCTGCCTCCCCTGATCACACTGATCCTTCCTGCAGACCCTACCTGCCCCTCCAATTCCCCAGTCTCTCCTGCAGACTCTGCTAACTCCTACCCTGTGCAGACTCTACCTGCTTCCCCCCAATCTCTTCTGTGGATTCCAACTACCCCCTGATTCCTCACTTCAGACCCCATCTTCCCGCCCTGCCCCATCCCCCTGCTAACCACTTGTTCCCTCTTCCCTTCCCCACCAGAGCCTAGTTGACCCTATACTCCCAAATCTCCCCACATTAATACCCCATCTCAGCTATCTTAGATCAGGTAGCTATTTGTAACTCAAGCTAATCTCTCCCGAACCTCCCCAAGTACCTGTATGCATCCATAATGGGCACTAAGAAATTAATATGCAGTAGCTAGCACATTGTAATTTCACCTTAATAATAATGCATCTTTCTCTTTTCTGTTAGGCTACTGATGCAGATGCTGGAATAAATGGTCAAGTCCATTACAGTTTGGCAAACTTCAACAATCTTTTTCGTATCACAGCAAATGGTAGCATTTACACAGCAGTTAAACTGAATAGAGAAGTAAGGGACTATTATGAACTTATTGTTGAAGCAACAGATGGAGCTGTGGACCCCCGTCGTTCAACATTAACTGTGGCAATCAAGGTTCTGGATATTGATGACAACAGTCCTGTGTTTACTAATGCATCCTACACAGTCTCTGTTCCAGAAAATTTACCCCCTGGCACAGTTTTCTTACGATTAGAGGTGAGCCATTTTGGATTAAAGGTTTGTTCTTTACGTTGTTACTTGTATATGAGGTTAAACATGTTCTCATCTAACCGATTGCTAGTAAAACCAAAGTAAAAGATTAAAAATTATTGGGGAAAAGTGGTACCTAAACTAGCCCATCTTTTGCAAATCTGTGATCTTTGCATGGATGAATGAAAAAATAGACATACATTTTTCATTTCTACAAATTAAAAAAAAAAAAAGAATTTGGAAAGCCAACATGATTTGACAAGCTTTGCCTTGTAAGTACAATATTTTTGAAGTACATTGAAACAATATGTGAATTTTTAAATGTCCATTAAATTTCTATTGTGGTTCCACCATATTGATCCTCAAAGTTTACTGGGTGCATTTACACGAGACACTACTACACTGTCATTACTGCACATTTGGTTAGTTACTTGTATTAGCAAATACTAAATAAATGTGCAGTAACTGGAGTTACTGTGTAGTTGCATTGGCGAAAGTCTTTTAGGTGATGCTAGTGCACAGTAGCCTAATAATACTGCACAGTAACTTATTAGCACTGTCCATGTTGTGATGCACTACTGTGCAATATTTTTCAGGTACTACACAGCCAGCATTTTGTGTAGATGTGTGCACTTTAATAGTTTTAATGCAAAATTTTGTAACTACATGGGAAATATATATGTTATCTTAAAAGCGGCAGCAAGTTTCCCACTGATCACCAAGATAGTTTGAGAAAAAACAATTGGCAATATGTAATTGAAATGAAAGAAACAATGAAAAGACAAGAAAATGAAAAGTTCTTAGTGCTATCAAAGAAATTAAAAGTAGTGGGGAAGAGGAAAGCATAATAATGTAGTTGTCTATGTGTTATACACTATTCGCTTAAAAGTAATTTTTCTTTTCCCCCTCCCCCTTGGTTTACTCTAGGCAAAAGATGTTGACCTTGGTTCAAATGTTAGTTATCGCATACGGACTCAGGAAGTTCTAGAGTTTTTTGCACTGAATAAGTTTACAGGAGAGTTGTCACTTTTGAAGTCCTTGGATTATGAGTCATTTGTTGGCACAGAAGCAACCTTTACCTTCCTTGTAGAAGCCTTTGATATTGGGGGCACTATGCCTCCAGGTCTGGCTTCTGTCACAGTCATAGTAGAGGTAAGTGGCAAACTCTCAGTTGATATCATCCTCTCCTTTGTTACAAAATATTCTAGAAACTCTTCAAGGTGTTTTGATTAATCAATGTCTTTGTTTTCTGCCTATTTTGCCCTGTCTCCTTCACTTTTCTTGTATGCAAAACTGTATTTTTACACAGCAGTAACTTACTTTTGAATGGGTTGAAATAGATAACTATATAATTGCTTTGAACCTTATGCAAGTACATGGTAATGTACTGGTTCCTAGATTTAGGAATTAAAATAAAGATTTGTGAATACTTCATAAATGAATAAACATTTAATTCTTTATGATTCCCAAAAGGTTTAAATATACTTATGGGATTGCTTGCAAAAATGGTGCCAACATTTTTCAGTTTAACGTCTCATAAATAGCAATCTTATAAACAATTCTTATGTATCAATTGCTGATGAAGCACACTATATCTTACATTTCAATTTTTTGCTGCATAAAAATACAGCCTTACAAAGGAAAGTAGCTTTTTTCTTCTTGAACAAAAATATAATCTTTATGTAGTGACTGTCAGTTTGAACTTGAGTATGTAACCTCACATCTCTGTGCTGCTTTAACTTATTCTTCATCTGGCAAATGGGGATAATGGTATTATTTGGAAAGCACTTAAAGATCCACAGAAGGGAGTATTATATAAGAACAAAATAGTTATATTTTTCCTCCTCTTCATGAACTGACTCATGCAGTCACATCTCTGAAGAGAAGCCATTTTAGAATCCTTTATCAGATGATGATTCCTTGATCTTTCATGACTACAGGAGAGGTGGTCCAGCACTTGATTCTTGCTTCACTTTGTGTAGTTTTGTGATAGAATTGCAATGAGCTGAGAGAAATATGGAGATAGGTCATCCACATTTTCTTTATGGAATAAAAGTTGGTATGTTGGCAAAAATGTGAAACTTGCAATTTAGTGCAATAACTTTCATATTTGGAGACCTGAGTTCAGGTATACTTTTGGCTATATCAGAAATCATTATGTTGGTTTTAATGTAGTGGGTGTTTGTCCTCTCTTTAAATTGCTGCAAACTTGTGAATGACTGAGTTTGATTGTCATGTTCTGCTGTACTTAGAAGAATCCTGATTCTGGGAAACATCACTGAGTATTTGCTTTGAAAACAGAAGTGCATTGATTACAAGGTTTTTACAGTCTGTCAACTATTGCCTATACCATTTCTTTTGGACTTCCTTCACTTGCAGATCAGTGATTCAGGTTCAGTTAGTGTTCCATAATAATCCTAATTCTTTTAGCATGCTCTCTGAGTCTGTGCAATCAGAATTTGCCAATCCATTATATTTTTAAGGATAATTTGTCAAAAACTGAACAGATAGATCATTTTGTCTGAAGCTGCTTACTCCAAAAAGGAACTGAATTTTCTTAGGAAGGAATGGAATTCCTTGCAATCCTTAAAAATGGCTTAAAAGAACAGCAATTCATTATTATTTATTGGTGTTACTATAATGCAAATCAAGAACTAAAACTGCACTATGCTATAAGCCATGCAAAGATGAAACAAAAAGATAGGTCAAGATGTCTGAGCTAACAGGCTAGGTATAAAAATTGTGACAACAAATGGCTATACAGAAAAGATGAGGTTGAAAGGGACATCTTCTGACCCTCTGTAACGGCAGTCATGGGTTCTTCATTACAGGACATTTTTAATCAAAATAGGATTTTTTTCTTTCTTTTTATAAGATATATGTAGTGGCTCAAGCAAGAATTTATTCAGGGAAATGCTATGGCATGTATTATGTAGGTCAGATTACATGCTCACAGGGGGCCCTTCAGGCCATGAATATAAGAGGAAAATGATGCAGTATTAATCAATATGACAGATATCCACCTCAAGTTACTGCCAGTCTACCTGGTTTCAAGTTTGTTTTAGGAATTTATGCAAAGGAAGTGTCAAGTAGAGATTTGAAGCAAAATAATTAAATAGCTTTGCAGATGTATTTTGGGTGCTTTTCCCAAGCTGGAGGGGTATGGAGGCTAACACGGTGTTGCTTGTTTGAAAACTTAACAATTTAGTGATAGAACTAGATGTCACAGACTGAGCTGAAGGCATGTGAAGAGCCTCAACTTTCTCCCCACTATTTCAGAAAATCCAGGACCAGCAAGGTAGAATTTTTGCCAACTCCATGAAGGTCTCCCTTTCAGTCATCAAAAAATTATGCCCTCCCACTCCCCCTCCCCACCCCCCGGGCAATTGAAGAGGCGTGCCTGGAGTATCAGTTGCTCTGAGATCACACTTTACTACAGCCAGCTACTAACTCAACAAAACAGCAAATTGATTTATTACATAGAAGAAAATAATTATACAAGAAAAAGTTGGCTATATAGTTTGGAGGCAAAAGACAAAAAACATACAAAATGCCCCACCCTCTTTCCTGACTACCACACAGTCCTTTAGAGAGTCCTACTAAATGAACGGAGCCTGGGATGCTTCCGAGGGTTCTAAGGGAGTTGGCTGATGTGATTGCAGAGCTATTGGCCATCATCTCTGACAACTCATGGCAATTAGAAGAGGTACTGGATGACTGGAAAAGGACAAGCAGAGTGTCCATCTTTAAGAAAGGGAAAAAGGAGAATCCAGGGTAGTACAGACCAGTCAGACTCACCTCAGTCCTTGGGAAAATCATGAAGCAGGTCATCATGGAATCTATTTATAAGCACTTGGAGGAGAAAAAAAGTGATTAGGAACAGATGCCTGACAAACCTGATTGCCTTCTATGACAAGGTGACTGGTTCTATGGATACAGGGAGAGCAGTGAATGTGGTATACGTTTGGAAGCTAAGTAGTATAAATCTTTCCAGACCTTGGCAATATTGACTTCTGTTTAAGCAGGATACTGTTTCTTTAGCATGTGTTGTCCTTCAAAGTAATTGTCCAAACATTGGGAAAACAGTGTATCATTATTTCTTCCCCTTATTACTGCTTTCGTGTCTATTTTATTTTTATTCAGATTTCAGTGCTACAAACTACCATATCATTGCTTTCACCTTAGGCACCAGGCTAAGTACAGATAATCAAAAAAGCCCAAGGGAGAATCAATTCAATCCTCTCAGGTTTCTCTAAGCTATATAGATTGGCCCGTTAATGAACAGAACTCAAGTTAAATCTTCCATTGAGGAAAATGGACAGGTGCCTGCACTAGCTGAGGCCAGAAGGGGGCACGCTTGTCCTCTTCCCAGTGTGCCAGACATTACTGAGGGCATGAGAGTGCAACCAAGCATGGGCTATCCCTCATTGGCTGCCTAGTACATGCCTCCCAAACCCCTGATACCCCCCCGTGGGGTGGGGGGGAACAGAAACCCCCCCTGGTCCTGGCCCCCCTGAGCTGGGGTCTGCTAAGCTCAGGAGTGCTCCACACTTTGTGGGGTTTCCCTGTCCTTGTCTGGCTGGGCTGACTGCACAGCCCTGCCCTCTGCAGGTCTCTGCCTGTGACCCAAAGAAGGGGAGGGGAGAATGAAGCCCCCTGCCATGATCACAGCACCCTTAAGCTGGTATTTGCTGAGCTGGGGGGAGCCCTGTGCTTTCGGGGAGTATCACCTGTGTCTGCTCACCCAGGCCAGCTGCACAGAAGGAAGGATCAGGCTCCACTGCCTTGCACAAGCCTCCTGCATTGCCCAGCAGGTCTTGTCAGCTGCCACTGGTACTAGGCTCTTGCAGGATGTACCAGGCAGCCCAGGGTGCTTATGCCAGGCAGTGAGACCCTATCCTTCCTTCATTCTATGTAACATTCCTGTCCTTGCTACCCAGCACGTCTTGCTGACTGCTGCTAGTGCTGGGCTCCATCAGGATGCACTGGGCAACCCAGGAGGCCTGCACCTGTCAGCAGGACGTGATCCTTCCCTCTATGGAGCTCTCCTATCCCTGCCACCTGGTGCAAGCCCCCCACCCCAGGCTGCCCGTTGTATCCTACTGGCTGCTGTTGGTGCTGGATTCCAACAGGATGTGCGAAGCAGCCCAGAAGGCCTGCATGAGGTATGGGGACCCAATCTTTCCCCCTATAGAGTGCTCCCATCCCCACTGCCTGGCACAAGTCTCCTGGACCACCTGGCACACCCTGTCAAAGCCTGGCACCAGCAGCAGCCAGCAAGATGGGCAGCCCAGGTGGCTAGTACCAGGTGGTGGGGCCTGATGCTTCCTTCAGTGGAGCTGGCCTGACTAAGCAGGGACAGGGAAACCCCACCTGTGGTGCAAGGCTCCCAGCTTAGGAGGGCCAAGACCGGGGGGTGGGGGGCAGAGCTTTGTTCCACCCTTCCCCTTGAAGGTCAGAGGCAAAGACTCATGGGGGCAGGGCTGTGCATCTAGATCTGCCAGCAGGAGAGGTGAAAAGAGAACATCCCATGCCATAGCCCACCCCCTAGCTGGGCAGACCCTAGTTCAGGGAGAGCTTGGGTCCAGGACAGGGATCATTCCTCCACCTCTTCCGTGCTGATCTGACAGGATGTAGGGCTGGGGAGCAGAGGCATTGCTGCATTAGCTCTGTGACATGGGCCAGCCTGGCTCAGCTGAAACAGAGGAGCACTGGCAGAGGCTAGCCTGCTTACTCTGTGAGGGGAGGGAATGGGAGATGGGGGGGCTGCAAAGCATCTTGAGATACCAGAAGACTATGAATTATCTTGATTTGGGAGGGAATCTGGGACAGAAGTTCAATAGACCAGTCTAACTTAAAATGAGAAAATCTGAAACTACATCCATCCAGGTCTATCTTAAACCAGGTTCTACCATTTTGAAACTGTTCCAGTCACTTATACCAGTTTATGTGTAATTTCTGTCCCTAGCCAAAGTCCTAATGAGTCTTCTGATTTTTGGCTGGCAGAATATCACAGTCTTCCAAATGAACCTCTGGCTATAAATTAGTCTGTGGTCAGAGAATATAATTTTGTTTTAAATTCTGCTCTCAGTAAAATATACAAACTAGAAACAGCAAATTCTATCCATTTTAAAAATAAATTCCAAATTTTA